AAAAAAAAAATAGCCTCATTTTAGCTATACATAGGGCGAATGCACCGTGCACTTCGAAAAAGACCTATCTGCTTCTAAACCCACTTGAACATCACCTCCCTGATTCCTCAGTCCCAGCAGAAAGTTATTCTCAGTTGACTTCAGCCTGGTCGTTAGAATCGTATGGGGATCGAATCGAGGTTGATAACTACCCAGGCCAACTACGCTTTTCACGGGTCCTGGGTTTGTTAACTGGCACCTAATTGGCACCAGACTTGTCTGAGAAAATAAAAGCTCGGACTTGTACATGGGCTGCCCATCGCAAGTTCTTGTATAGGCCACATACACCTCAAAAAAACTACTTCGATTCTGAGTGAAAGTCGTGTGCGTGGTGCATCCCATAAGAGGATTGCTCACGTCAAAGTAGTTATCCTTCATTTTCTCGTGTATTTAAAATCTTACTGCATCTAAAAATCCCATTTAGTAGCCTTTGCTCGGCTTCCTTCCAATGGGAATGGTTCTGCTTACGGTAGTCGCACTTCTGCTCCTGTTTACCACTGAGGCTCGAGCTCAGGTATGACGATTCACTCGATCGAAGGTGTGGCACAGCAACCGGAAAGTAACTTGGCTACATTCCAGTACGGTGGTTACAATAGTTACAATAATCTTGAAAGAAATTTCGATCAACTTCGCCCGGATCTCAGTGTACTTCTACCGAATCCTGCGCAAGTAAGTTTTCATGAATACCTGTGTGGACCCCTTAAAATGGGAGCTCTGCTTGGGGTCAGAGCTCTGCTAGAGAAATCTAGATATAAGCATTATTCCATTAATTTTTGTTTCACCTACTGTTGCCCATGTGGATTTATTACACTTGTTTTTCTCTTTTCATTTTTAATTTTCAATCAATGCTCTTGTGGTTCATTCAGGGAGGTGCGTTCGATCCCAATTGGGGAGCCAAGTTAGCCAAGGAGGTGGAACGCGCTTTAATGACAGCCAGAACGTCCGGCATTCATATGAATCATATAAAAACGGATGGACTTGGTGGACTAATCATCACCACACTAAATGGAGTGATGTCCGTTCGGGCTACGGTTGATGGAACGCCCTACACGGCCACGTTGCCGGCTGACAGTTCGGTCTCTACCACTAAAAATGAATACTTCTATAATGGACATAAGATCCAAATATTTACGATCACAATTGATGGTGTACCGTATACCTATACTACTGTCGATGGTAAGACGACTGTGACTGATGGGCAGGGGAATGTGCTCAAAGATGGTGGTCCGTTCCACGTTCCTACGGACTAGAATACCTCCAGTGCCATGACGGATAGTCTGGAATTGGACATTCAACTGTGCTGATGGTATTGATTAGACTAACTGAAGCTGTACTCTTTATGGTCTTGAAGCAGTAAGGGAAATTACCTCGATATAATTTATTGAGAACCTCACTTTTTGAATATTTATTGAATTGGCATCATAAAAATGTTGTAAGAATAGAAATATATCCTGAAACTTTGAAATGAACGTCATTTGTGCAGTCCTTTATCAGAGTGTTGAAGTAAAGTTTCTTTTTTACTTTCTGGAAAACTAATAAAACCTTGAGTGATAAAAGGGTAAGAGGAAAGTAGGAAACTCATAAACAATTATCTTCAGGAATTAATTCTCTGACTAGATATCAGTGTTTAAATCGCTGGGTTAGATGCTGATCTAGGTCTTGATTGAGACTTCACTCCTCCAGTTGCTTGAGAACGGCATCCCCTTGCCCTCCCATCCACCCCTTCCTCCCTTACCCAACCCCACAGACCTTCCCTTCGTCCAGAATTTCTTGACATACGGCATAGGGCATACGCCTGACACTGAAGGTAAAGCATCGCTTTGAAAACCGTGATTGCTAGAACCAGCATCGGGGCCTATCAACATTCAGAACTTACTCGATCTACTGTTACCCATCCAGTTGAATCGCAACGTTTCAAGTGACAAAAAGGGTTTTCTTCATGAGTTCCGATCAAATTAGCGTTAATGCAGTGCTATTTGAGTCCTTGAGCACT